AGTTCTAATTCTTTTTCCAGTCTGTTCATTTCTCCTATTTTTTCCAATTCAATTTTGAATCTACTGCGGTGACTTGCTTTTGAAGATTTACTAGTACCATGAGAACATGATTTCTTATTGTCTTCTTGGTTTTCATTATTTTTTGTAGGGTCTGAATTCCTTTCAGTATTTTAATTGGGGGAGTATACCTGTCAGGTAATTTCTTGACTCTAGAAGATTTCCTGGTAGACATATTAGCGAATTTCCCTATAGGGAAGTAGCTATTACCGTAGGTGGCACGGTAAGACCTAGACCTGGGACCGATTTACTTTTTCATTTTGATGTCCCCAGAGGCCAAAAACACTATTCGTTCAAATTTGTATGTATGTATATATATATATATATAGACATATATGTATATATATATATATATAGACATATATATATATATATATATATATATAAGTCCGTGAACGCGATAACTTGAGTAATTTTTGTCCGATTTTGATGAAATTTGGTTTAAAGGTGTAAAGCGGGATAAACTTGAATGAGTTCGCGAACCAGCACGATCGGACCATGGGAACGGGGCTTTACGGGGGGTTTTATGGGGTAAAAATTGGTTTTTCTCACTTTTGACCCTCAAAACACAAAATTTCCCAATTTCTCTTTAGTCCTTTTTAAAGAGCTTAAAAAAACAAATAATTTTGTATATAAAAGTATTTTTGTTCAATTATTAGTAACGGAGAAAATTAAAAAAAATTTTAATTTTAAATTCCCATATTATTCTTATGGAGAATATTGTCAAATGTTGTAGTTTGCTTGTTTATGAATGTATTTTGATCAAACTTGGCAAATTTATTTATTTTGTACTAAGCTATCAATATTTTACTCAAAAACACACTTTATTAGTTTCCTTGTAGCAGCAAACCTAGGTACTCGTTAAACCTAATGTTATTAAAATATATTTAACTGAAAATCAATTCAGACAAATGGAAATTCGCTTAGTCGGCAGGTTTGCTGCGGCGGGGGTATTATAGTTTTGGCACCAAATGTTAAAAAATATCAAAGACAAGACTTAAAAGACAATTAATAAACTGATCTGTATTCAACAAAGGGAATCAATCAATATTTACAATATTTTAAATAAAGAATAAAACATATGTTGTAGGTATCAATTAATTATTCAGAAAGACCATGGCAGGCAATAAATTATAACACTAGTGTTGCAATTGTCCCAGCTGGGTGGTGACATGGTAACTGGGTTGACTTAAATGTTCAGCTGACGAGTGTAACTCTAAGGCCTTTTAACATGGGCAGGTCCTGTTTGTGTACAATCCATATTAAACATTTTTTAATATGTGACTTAGTTTCGTAATTGATTTTAGGCTAGTTTGCAAGTTAAGTTGCTGGGTTCTGTATTTATTGGGAATGTTTCTTGTGGCTGCTACAGATGTAGGTCAATGAGTTCAGGCCACAGGAATTCAGGTGACCCAGACAAAGGAGGTTTGATGATTAGTCCTTTATCAGCTTAACACTTATACCGGAAACCCGGTCTGACAGGCCCACGGGAATTTAAAAAAACACATGTTGGCAAAACTGTTTACTTGGGGGATTCCATTCCCCCAATACCTTCCCACATTTTCCTACCCTACCTGTTATATATTTTTGTTCATTTTGCGTGGGTGCTGTGACCTTGACAGGTTGTCTGTTCATAACATGGCTGTCTCAGAAGCCATTGGACATAAAATACAGCGTTAGTGTATTTTAAAGCGGGGTCTCACAGGCCCAGGGTTTCGGATTGTGTGTTTCTAAGCGGGGTCCATTGTTTTCAAATGGGATCTCACAGACCAGGGGTTTCGGTTAGCGTCAGCCTGGGTAGGATTTCGGTATTAGTGTTAAAGGATCGAAAGTCATGGACACATTTGTGAAAATTATATGCAGACAGACAGATATAAATGAGGCATTTTAGACCCATGTATGATAATTTTTTATTGGTTTCACCAAAGGAACAAATTTGAACGGAGGGTGTTTTTGTCCACTGAGGACCTCAAAACAAAAAAGTAAATCGGTTCCAGGTCTAGGTCTTACCATGAGACCTATGGTAATTAAATATCTTACTAGTCTACTTAATTGCTAAGTATTACAAGAATCATTTTAAAACCGGGTGAGTTCTAAATAGATAACCCTGACAATAATTTTAGATTAATATATTTGATTCGACTTATCAAGTATGAAGTATCTTCTGGAAGTACTCAGTCTTTTGATAAAACTCTTTTAAAATAATATTAATGTTATTGTAAATATTTTATAGCTTTCGGGAGCTGACTTTGTTTAGTTATTTACAGTTCAACCTCTCCAAAGAAATTTCCCTGACTCACAGCCACGTAAAGTTGTCCATGTGACAATTCAAAAAAGGTCCTGCTGGCAATATTCAACCCTTGTTATGAACTAACCCTGGGCTTTATTAGGGTCAAGGCTAAAGCTGAAATTACCAAAAGTTGAGTTCTTTGAATATAGAATGGCAGCACTTTGTCTAATACAGATTCAAATTTACTATGGGTACCAGAGTTCGTTGCTTAGGCCTCCTTGAGGAACCATCTTACCATAGCCAAGGCATTATTCTAGTTTCTACTAAAGGTTTTGAATTGTCTCAATCTGCGAGTGTTACCAGTAAATATTTCTTGCATTTATTAGTTTTATCTGATATTAGGCAAGTTTACTTTACCACTTGTAAACTTCTGAATTTAGGAATTTAAATTTAAGAATTTAATTAAAATAAATATATGTTTACACACTGTGCAAGTGAGTGTGTGTCTGGATTTCTTACTGTTAGGCCAGGCCTCTCTTTTTCTACTCTTCTCATAAGCATAAGATCTCTTATTAATTGTTTCCAACTCCTGTTTTCTATATTTATTCTTTAAACTCGAGGCATTTTCTGTCCTCCAACAAAACTGATTAACTGTTTACATTGAACATTACATTTACACCTTCTGAATATTACAAACATCAATATTTACTCCCAAAAAAGCTTTTTATAAACAGCTGTTTTTTGGTTTTTGAATTTGTTCTATGTAATTCTTATTGTACTATTATACAGGGTGTTTATTTTAAAACTTACATCTTTATTTATGTAAAAACCGCAATAGATAGAAATATGCAGTTTGCGGGAATTATCTATTGACGTAGGGGGCCCAATTGTTTTGAATTCAACGTTACATTCACATTCCCCCCCTCTCCCCCCTGCCATCAACTTATTTTTTTAAATAGCAAGGTACCACTTGTGACATATCAAATGAAAGAGCATGAAAAAATAAAATGTTTGGTGAAAAAAAATTGATAATCGGCTCATGAATTTGTGAGATAATCCCCCTTTCCCCCTACCCGTTACTTTTTTTTTTAATAGCAAGGCACCCCTTGTGACATATCAAATGAAAGAGCATGAAAAAAGAAAATGTTTGGTGAAATTCATTTTTCATTTGATATGTCACAAGGGTTACCTTGCTATTATAAAATAAGGTTATCGGTAGTGGGAAAGGGGGGTGGGGATTATCTCACAAATTCGTGAGCCGATTTTCAATTTTTTTTACCAAACATTTTATTTTTTCATGCTCTTTCATTTGATATGTCACAAGGGGTACCTTGCTATTAAAAAAAAAAAAGTTCCGGGGAGGGAAGGGGGAATATCTCACAAATTTATGAGCCAATTTTAAAATTTTTTTCACTAAACATTTTATTTTTTCATGCTCTTTAATTTGATATATCACAGGGGGTACCTTGCTATTACAAAAAATAAGTTGGGGGCAGGGGGGAAAGGGGGGAATGTGAATGTAACGTTGAATTCAAAACAATTGGGCCCCCTACGTCAATAGATGATTCCCACAACTGAATATTTCTATCTATTGCGGTTTTTACATAAATAAAGATGCAAGTTTAAAAAAAAAAAACACCCTGTATATATATCACTGTAATCTAGTGATAAATATGTAGCCTAATGGATTGGTAAATTGCTTTGTACATAGGATAATATGTTTTTGTAATGTCTGTAGTCCTGCTGTCGGTTTCTGAATGTTCATGTACTGTTGTAAAGAATTTCTAGTGTCTCAAATATAATCCGTTTATATCTTAAAGTGTTTTAATCTTCTACCACAGATCACACGACTAAAACTGCAAGTATTCTTATGGAGAAAAATCTTCATTTGAGAGTGCCTAGCGCTCTTAAGGGTAAAAGTTTTCAAATTCTAAAACCTTATTGCATAAGTACAAATTGAGACAAATTTGTTGACACCTCAAACATTGAAATTGGTCCAGAAATAAGGGAGAAGTAGTGTTCACAAAAAACGGCTTAATGTATAATAGATATAATAACTAGTGCGCCTATTGCTCAAATTTGAACAATGGCAAAGTATTGCAGGCGTTATTTCAAACAGTCATAATTTCCGATTACTTAAAAAGAGTCAACTCAAAGATAATGTAATCAATCACTCCACTCCAGTTATCGAAACTGAAAACGAACTCACTCTGAAAACTAACGCTCTTGTGGATATCATGTGTTTACTATGAACAGCTGTTTTAGGATTCAATTAATACAAATGCTTCGTCTGTTTAGGTAAACAAAATCTTTTCTTCATAAGAAATATATTGGGATTTTGATGGCCTGTGGGGCAAAGCCCGAGGGCTTTTATTACAGGAATTGGTGAAAGAGGGTGTCTACACAAAAAATACTTTATGTTGAAACATCGTTTGTAAAAATCCGTCCATTATTAAGGGAGGAGTAGTGTTTCGGAGTAATCGTCTTCACGTATTATTATATAAGGATAATAGATTCCCTATATGGGAAATCGGGTAATAAAACAAAATAACCTAAAAATATGTGTTGATATGAAAATTATAAAAAATCCTGGGTAAAAGGGTTCATTTTTGTTTGAGGACAGGTACTGCTGCAATATAGTAAGAACCCTATACCATATCAATCTCAAATTTAGCATACTTAAAAGTGAATTATGTAAACTGACAGTTCTTACACTTAAAGTGGTGCGAACACTAGTCTCCAGCTGCTTAGCCTTGGTCACGTCTGTGTGAGACAGAGAGGAAATGTCAATAGACAACAACACCTGTAGTTCAGTCAGTGTTCCCTCAAGACTCCACAGATCCTTGTTGGCCATGATTAGCTCATACAACCTCACTGGGTCCTTGATGTTCTGGCAGTACCTCCACCCATCTGGCAACATATAATCTCATAATTATTGTCTGTACACAAGCTCCAGTGCCGAATAAACAAGCTCAAGTTCAAATCCGACACCAGTTTCATTCTTAACTTTCTCTATTACTACATGCCAATTATAGCAACAAATTAGAGAATCCAAAGTAGTCTGATTTTAGTGGATCTACAGTTTAATTGCAATCATATAAATATCATGTAAGCTAAACCTAAAACAGTTAAGTGATGTTTCTGGCCTACCTTGAGCACAACAAAGCTGTTCCAACAGCCAACATTGGAAGTCCCCAAAGCGAGAGTCACTATTGAATTGCTTCTCTGGTATGAGAAACAGACTGTCCAGACAAGTTGACCAGTCTTGTTGTTGAGCCATCATATCCAGCCACAACCACAACCTCTCTCTGTCCAGTACTGACTTGAGTGTCACTAGCATACTGTTGTTGTCATACAATGATGCCAGAACACCGACACCCGGAGTCTGTAGTTGTCTGTCAAGTGCTGTTGTTATCATCACACTTTTAACACCTTCTACACAAGGTTCTATGCAGTGAATTTTTTCTACGACCAATCCTAATAAAGGATTTCTGGCCGCTAGGTACTTTAAAATTTCTTGCCTCGTGTCTTTTGACTTCCAGTTGTCATTGGTCTTTCGTTTACATTTTTCTGTTTCTAGAATGTTGTTAGGGTATGTCTTGATGATGGTCAATCTGATTTCTTTGTTGATTATAATATCTGTAATATATTTTTAAAACATAGTTATAAATAATTGAAGTATTTAAACAAATTAAACCTTTAAAAACAGAAAAAATACAATAATAATAAAATGCAATATCCATGCTTTGCAAAATAGGGTCCATGACTTTTGTTTTCTCATAAGTTTAACGATGACATTTTCATTTCCTAAGCCTCTAACCGGTTATTGAATAATCATACTCTTCTCTACTAGACAAGAATTTTAAAGCAGCATGCTTGCTGTTTTTATGTACAGTACAATTCGGACAACAATTAATTGCCAAGTAAAAAAATATTTTATAAAACTCTTAAGTCAGTTTGTCGTATTATGCATTAAAATTAATTATTAATTAAAACACTTCAATATCTATTTTGAAGTTTTGCTAAAAGACTGGCATTTAATCATTACTGGAAGACTGTTTTGTTTTCAGTATTTATTTTAACTTAAAGTCATATGTTCAAATTGTTTAAAAAAATGTTAATAAAGTTTAGTCTGTTGTTTTGTTTTGCATTGATATTGAACACACTCTCATTTTTCTCCTTAAAATTAATCTAGCATTTTGTCATTTCTGAATTTAATTCACTACCAAAATCGTTCTTGATATCACAATTAATCGAGAATCACGTACAGTGACGACTACAAGTTAAAGTTACAGATTTAGAACTTAACTCACAAGTAATCACTATCCATTGAGTTTAAACATCTGATAAATCAGAGCGACCATGCAATTTTTATGCAAAAGTAGACATCCCATCTATTTGAACCATTTGTAACTAACTTTTCATGAAAATAAAACATGGTGGAATGAGCCATTTTTCGATACTAATTTAGTTTATGTTACTTTATAAGATTCTATAGATTGGTATAAAATAAGTTCTACTTTCAGTTTTGGTTGATTATTTAAAAGGTTTGCGTATTTGACCGAAATTAGTAATTGACATCCTCACTCTATCAGTGGCATACAACTACGTTTATGTCTTTGGTATTCAATTACGTTTGTTTGTATAAAACTGGCTACAGGGGGATGGGTTGTCAACTCCTAGGCTAACATGACTAAACCTCCAATTGCAACTATCTATGCAAGTAAAACTCTACTAAAATGAAATGGCTGAAAGCTGTATCTGTAGCTGTGCTGCCATTCGGGAGTCATTGTTTAAGCTACAACTTTTGGTTGACCGATCAATCAATTATACACAAGGTCAATGATGCTTGAAGGATTATTGTTGACATTTTATATCACAATTAGTAAAAAAAAAGTGTTCACGATGCTTTGGAATCTGGAGACTGATCCCGTCTTTATAGTCCAGTCATTAAAGAGAAAATATATAGTGGAGGTTCAACAAAATTGTTTCAAAAGGTTTCTTAACGGATTTCATTACTTTCATACCTCCTTACAACACAGAAAAAAGTCTACCGAAATCTGACTTGGGGAAGTACCACATATAAGGTTATTTAAATTAAAATAATCATTGCTAAAAAAAAAAATAGTAAAAAAAATTATTAATAGATATAGGGTGTAGTATATCGTTTTTAATGTTTACAAGGGTGGGGAATCTAAATCTGCAACCTAAAATGTGATTTGACCTCATTTGACCCCACAAAATGGCCACTAAAATAGATTCATGGAGAAAATATTTAAATAAAACAACTTTAGATATAGGGTGTAGTATATTGAATTCAATGTTTACAAGGGTGGAAAACTCAAAAATGCAACTTAAAATATGATTGTAACTAATTTAAGGTCATAAGATGGAAGTTACTAAAATACGCTCCATGGAGGGAAAAGTAAAAAAAAAAACTTACCTTTAGAAATATGTTGTAAAAAGACGATTTTAACTTGTACAAAGGCCAGTAAACTAAATATTCAACTGAAAATAAGATTTTACATCATGAGACGGTGGCATAAGATGTAATACAGGGGCACATGGATTATTTTTACATAGAACAAAAATATTAATAAATCTCATTCAATGAACACACGTTTTTAAAAGGGAAAAGGGTACTTGGTCCTAACCTTAATCGCTCCTTACTCGTTATACACGCTCTTTCCGGATGTAATACCACATGGAGACCCTATGGAATAGGAAAACTTTCAGTTATGAATGAACGAATGAATGAATGAATATAGTTTATTCCAAAAAACATTGGCTACAAACTGTGATTATAAACTAAATAAAGTATATTAGACAGAGACTTTTGTCACTAAAAGTATATATACGAGTTTGAATAAGCCAAAAAATATAACAATAAACTCACCAAGACTTGATTTTTATTTATTTATAGTTATGAACAAATACCATGATCTCAAGGAATTCACTGAATGTCAAGCGTAAGCAGGGGTGTCATTTGGGGGGGGGGGGGGGGGGGCTAGAGAAAGAAATATGCTGTACTAGCTAATATAAAAATATTTTCTCCTGTCAAATCCTAAAAAGGGCAGACAAAAAATCTGCCTATTCTTGTACAGTAATTTGAAACAAAAATATTATTTTTTTAGTGTCTCTGCAGCACATTTTGAGTTTACATAAATTAGTAGTTTTGTTATTCATTTACTTTTCAGTTTGGTTCTGTACGATCAACCACTTACTACTTTTAGTTTATATATCCACAATCATGCAGATTTTTTAAAGAAGCATTGCTTTGTCATTTACTTAAATGTATTACCTGGAAAAAATATATATACAGTAGAACGTCGATTATCCGAAGCCCGGTCATCCGAAACGTCGGTTAACCGAAAGGAAGAAAGAAGCAAAAATCAATAAAATTGCGCGCCAATCACGACTGGCCGTAGCGCTACGCCACCGCAACCCGCACGGCTGCTAAGTGGTGAAAGTCTAAATATAGCTCAAAGGTCTGCCCCTCCCCCTTCCCCCCAAACCCCTACTTCATTCAGTGTTACACCCGCTCACTTCGAGGTCATTGCACAACCCCTCCCTCCCTTCTATTGTTTTTCATTGCCAGTCACTAGTCAGTCGCCGGCGACTGCTTTGAGTTGACCTATTCTGTTGTAGCAGCTAAAAAAATAGGTTAGGACAACTACCTCTTGCTTATTTCTACAATGTAAAAATATTAATATTTGTATTACTGTAGAATCTACAGTAGTAAATATATCCAGTATTTCACGTAAACACAAGTTACATTTTAACAAATATTGATTTTTTACTAATTTAAACCAAAATTGACTCGAAACTGCCGAGTTAAAAAATAAGCTCGAGTTTCAAGGCCGTACTCGACTCGAATTTGAAATCTCAAGTACTCGCACATCTCTATAATTAATCAAATTTATATTATTGTACAGTATCCACGGACGCGAAATCGGCAAATCGCCGCCGGCCGCTATCCCTTCACGTCATTTCCCGTTCCCCGTATTTTTCCCGTCAATGACCAACTATCCGAAAAATCAGTTATCCGAACAACCCCAATCCCCAATTAATTCGGATAATTGACGTTCTAATGTACGTCTAATAACACTAGTAATAATATATTTACACTTATACTGTCAACTCACAAGATGGTAAATATATATGAAAGTTGGTAAGTGGTGATCGATTTCGATTGGACACTCCAATCATCATCAGACCCAATAGGCTAATGAATATGGGTTTTTATACATTACTAGCTGTAACCCGCGGGCTTTGCCCCGTTTAACTTCTTAATTTTCAAGATGGCTCAATCACGTCCTGACGTCCTGGTTGAAGTTTGATCGCTACGCTCACTCACGTTTAGGTTAGAGCTCGTTCGCTGAACTCACTTGCCTTCAGGTTAGCTCGTTCGCTACGCTAACTCGCCTCCAGGTTGAAGTTCGTTCGCTAAGCTCACTCACCTTTTGGTTGAAAATTAGCTGTTGTCATAAATGTAAAAGAAATAATAGTGCTGCACCCTGTTGGTAATCCTTGTAACTTTAATGCTATTGAACATCATAGAACAGAACCAACTTGTTTAATTGAAACAGCTATTAAGATTCATTAATTCCATTTAAATATGAGTACTCATAAGGTTAACATGGGAAACTCCAGAGCCACTGGGGCGGATCCCAAAGGTCGGAGGGTAAAATCCTTTCTTAGTAAGCGTCTACTACCCAAAAGGAAGATGCCTGCCAAGTTTCAGGTTCCTAGGTCTTATGATTTCTGAGATTTCGTGATAAGTGAGTGAGTGAATGAATGAGTCAGTGGTATTTGAGCTTTATATATATAGATTCAAGCATTAAAATTATACACGTGTATCAATTTTACGTAATTTATTTTTAATTTTGTAGACTAACTTTTTAATACAGATAAATAGAACCTTTTGCACTTTTGTGTCAAAAAAATTTGATAATAAATATATTGATAAAAAATTTTGATTTGTTTTAAGTACTTAAATAGGTACTTGTGTTTTATTTAAAAACCAAAATAAACTGTTATAAACTATAGGCTATAAATACAACCTCTTCATTGATATAGGTCTAAATGTTGTAAAAGAGAAATTGGTCTAATAAGAGAAATGAATCTAATAAAGAGAAATGAATCTAATAACAAACATAAGCCTAATATTAATACATCAGGAAAATATTGATCACGTTTCTTAGATGACTAACTTACCAACATATTATTATGTTTCTGTCTGTTGTCAATAATTGTCAGTTTCATAAATTTTCTGCCTAAATTTAGATAAATTTTACTCAATTTGGTTTTTTTTCGAGGTGCTTTAGACAATTAAAATAACCTTAAACCCCTCTTTTTTCAGGCAAAATTAAACTGGGGGTTATTCCATACCCCCCGGTGTTTGCCCCCCCCCCCCCCAAGGATTTGGTGAAATGACGCCACTGAGCGTAAGCAAATTGAGCTGTCTGGTAATAAGGCCATTGCAACTATATACGGTTGCAAGAATGGGTCAGAATTGTGTACGTGTCCAGGTCTTACCATGAGACTTACGGTAATAGCTTATTCACTATATGGGAAATTTGCTAAAAATGTTACAAATGACAGATATGTACCGTCTACTGTTCAACACCTCAGTCCATTTAAACAACATTAAAGGAATGAATTGTTTTCGGTTTTATTTATATTAAAGCGTCTGTTCATTGAATTCAATTTATTACTATTTTAAAATATCATTATTATATCCTATGTGCCCCGTTATAAATAATCCATGTGCCCCGTATATCCCATCTTACGCCACCGACAAGTTACATATTTAGTTTACTGGCCTTTGTAGAAATTAAAATCGACATACTACAAACTATTTCTAAACATAAGTTTTTTTTTACTTTTCCCTCCATGGAGCGTATTTTGGTGACTTAAATCTTATGACGTTAAATTAGATACAATCATATTTTAAGGAGCATTTTTGGGTTTCCACCCTTGTGAACATTGAATTCGATATACTACACCCTATATATAAAGGTAAGTTTTATTTTAGTTTTTTCTGCATGAATCTATTTTAGCGGCCATTTTGTGCGGTCAAATGAGGTTAAATCACATTTTAAGTGGCAGATTTAGATTCCCCACCCTTGTAAACATTAAAAACGATATACTACACCCTATATATATATATTAATAATTGTTTTAACTATTTTTTCTCGGAGCAATTATTATTTTAATTTAAATAACCTAATATCCGGTACTTCCCCAAGTCAGACTTCGGTAGACTTTTTTCTGTGTTGTAAGGAGGTATGAAAGTAATGAAATCTGTTGAGAAACCTTTTGAAACAATTTTGTTGAACTTCCACTACTCAATGACTGGACTATTAGGTGAGATAGAATCTAAATATAACAAGATTAGCAAACAAACTAATCTAAAGCTAGAAAATCAGTTAATAACCACACAGAAAACTGTTTGGTCAGAACAATATGTGAAAAACCAAATGAAATCTAAACAATACAATAGGTTGGAATAGAACAAAGCTGAGTACAAACAAAATGGACCATCTTCACAACATTGTTACAATGTCCGCAAAAATCCCTCAAACACCATAGATCTGCCATCGCTAAGAATTAACTTTAAACAAAGAACAGGTCAATGTTAGCTTGTAACAAGTTGTAACAACTTGTCACAAACTCTAAGAGTCCTGATGCAGCTCAAGAGGAGTTCACCCTCTATGGCAGAACATAATGGGAGAGGTTCACCTAGAATAAGTGGTTTCATGGAAATGTTTTGTTGTCAGTCAAAGATGTACCTTTTCCGGTGATGTCTTCAAGTTTAAGAAAGTCCTTGAGAAAGTCTCCAACATGTTCTCTGCTCGAATCGCTGACATCATCCAAACTAAACTCACTCTCAGTGCCTTGAGTGTTGGTGATGTGGTCGATGTAATGGTGGAGAATGGCAGGAATCACCAAACACCCGTCCACTGTTCTCACAGAGGCTTCAATATACGCTGCCATGCGAGAGTCTATCTCCCTGTCCATACCTCGGCTGGGGAGGACCTGGCTCAACAATCACCATGTTTAGTAATGCAAAGGGTCTTAACAAAGTCAACAAAAAAACAAAGAATCCTTTTTAATAACAATTCATAGGGGGTTTTTGCTTTACTGTCTATTTCCTGAAGTTGTATGCATTCTTGTAAGGAATTAAAATAAAATAAAATAATACCCCCGCCGCAGCAAACCTGCCGACTAAGCGAATTTCCATCTGTCTGAAATGATTTTCAATTAAATCTATTTAACATTATATTTAACCAGTACCTAGGTTTACTGCAACAAGGGAACTAATAAAGTGAGTTTTCTAGTAAAATATTAATAGCTTAGTACAAAATAAATAAAATTGCCTAGTTTTATAAAAAATATATCTATAAACAAGCAACTATAACATTTTACAATATTCTCCATAAGAATAACATGAAAATTTTAAATTTTCTATTTTTTGATTTTTTTCCGTTACCAATAATTGTAAAAAAACACTTTAGTATACTAAATTATTTGTTTTTTTAAGCTCTTTAAAAAAGTCTAGAGGGAAATTGGGAAATTTCGTGTTTTGTTGGTCAAAAATGAGAAAAACCAATTTTTACCCCATAAAACCCCCCGTAAAACCCTGTTCCCATGGTCCGATGGGTTCGCGAACTCATTCAAGTTTATCCCGCGTTATAAACTTAGTATGAAAAGTTTATCAAATTACAGAAAGAGAGCGTGTAGAAAGAGTGAGTGTAGAGTGGCCGGCCGCGCATCTTTCTGAAATTCAATGTATTTGTGCGTGTTAAATGTTTTATTTGTGTATTTTGACTACGATATCATGTTCCAATAATTTTATGTTAGACGACAAGACTTGAAAACGAAACGTCAGTTTCGAAACTAGTCGCTTGAATTGAAAGACTATTAAAGGATTTACGACGTAAGGTACTTAAACCTATTTTATACTGTTTCAAAGTAAACGTAAACACTAAGTACATACAAAAAAAGTACAAAAAAACAACAAAAAAAAGTAAAAAGTAAAAAGTAAAATAAGTAAGTAAGTACGTAAGTAGAGCGGGGCTTACTCACCGTCAAGCGATGGTTTGATCAAAATAAACTCACTGTAAATATACCTAAAACTAAGTATATGCCAATCTCCCTCAGAGCTGACCACGACCCTAGAAACCTAGAATTAAAATTACATAGTTGTAGCGCTGGCAATTTGTGTGACAAGTGTGAAAGTATCGAATGTGTCAGTGAATTTAAATATTTAGGTGTGATATTTGATCGACGTTTAAAACGGTCTGGCCATATTAATAAAATCAGGGTCAAACTACGTAAATTTATCTTTGATTTTGCAAACCTATCAAATTGTTTACCAATTAATTTGTTAAAGAATGTGTACTATGCTTATGTACAATCTGTTTTGCAATGTGGAAAACCTGACCTGGGGTGGAGGATACAAAATTATACTTGCACCCATAGAAATTATTCAAAAAAGAATAATCAGGATTGCACTCCACAAACCTATTTGATATCCCTCTGAAACAGTTTTTGATGAGTTCAAAGTACTTAATATTTCCCAGCTATATACAAGATCCTTACTAATATATATTTTTTTAAATAAACAAAAACAATATATTTTTAGCCAACCAACTCACAACTGTCCAACTAGATTTTCAGTTAATATTGGTATCCAATTTCCAAAAGTTAATAAATCGACCAATAAAACTTCTCCTAAATACGTTGCAAAAATAATGTTCTCAAAATTACCCAATAGTTTAAAGTATCCCGAACCTTGCAGTTTGAAAACATATAAAAATCTAGTAGACAAATGGTTAGTGGAAACGGGCCGTGGCCAGATTGATCGTTACCTTGTGTGATTGTATTCGTAGGGTGCGTGTGCGTGAGCGTGTGTCGTCGATGATGTGTTTGTGTGTGTGAGGGGGAGAGTGAGTGAGTGAGTGAGTGAGAGAGTTGCATGAGAGAGAGAGAGAGAGAGAGAGAGAGAGAGAGAGAGAGAGAGAGAGAGTCGGCTCGCCTCTGGCCTACAGGGACAGAGCAGTGACGGCCCTTTGGGGCTACCAGCCGCCTGTACAGGGCCTGTTGTGAGTTGTTGCATGCGTGTTTTGTGTGTGTGTGCGTGTGTGTAAAAGGTGTATGAATGGTTTCCAAGTCCCAGTGATTTTTGACATCATTACTAAATACTTTCTTAATTTGATTTTTCATTTTATTTATATTTGCTAGTTATTTTTCATAGTGTTGACGTTATCTGCTGTGGCTTCCTGGTAAAATGATTTTTCTCCTATTTTTGTAAATGCAACTTGTATATATAACAATGTTTAGACTATAGAATATGGATGGACTGATGTACTCATTCCTCACGCACAGGATTTGCCTGTGTGGGGATCTTCTATTATTTTTAAGAATTACTGTAATTTCTGTAACCGTTAATTTTCATGGAATAAATTATATTTGATTTGATTTTGATTTGAAACCATATTTATTACTTAGGTTTGATTCTAAAAAAATATACAATTAAGTTTTGACTCAAATATGGCTACCTGTATTGCAGGAGACAGTTTGTAAGGACTGGCCAATAGAAAGAGAGCCCTTGGGTCACTAGATGTGGACACAGTCATGGAGCAGTGAGGTATCCTGGCCATTGCTCCTGTTGCAGGTAGAGGGACAATCATGCTATGCAGCTGTGCTAGAGAGAGGAAGCAGTCTTTGCCTACCATGTAGCCCACCCTGGCAGCACTGAGCTGCCGAAGTGACGTAGACTGAGACACAAGCCCATAGCCCTCACCTACAACCGACATCAATATTACAAGTGTTAAAAAGGATCCAAGGGTTTAAGTTAGGGATGTATTGATTTTTGATAACAAACATATTTGGAAATTGTTATCAGGCTTGAGAATTTATTGTCAAATCGAAAGTCAATGCCAATACCGATACCTGACACGTCTACAAAGATCGCACAAACGTAAAATTATTGCTTTTGCCGCAATCGCGAATGCAGGGTGTCTACTAAATCTGTAAGATAAAAATCAGGGACTTTTTGGGGACTTTTGGGGTTATAATTATTTGTAATCGGTGACCTTTTGCGGGCTTTAATTTATTCAGGAATAGCGTTGGCCTACCGAAATACTTACTTGTAAACCGACTGTCATCATGTGTGAATAATGAGAAATATTAGATCGTCATAACTTTTTTATCGATTTTAACTAGGTACTTAATTATGAAGTACAGAATCTAGGCAATTTACAGAATATAACTAAAATACAATACACAAAATATTTTGTTTAAAGATTTCAAAAAGAGTTCTTACCTTAGTTTTGAAATTCTGCTATTGGGATTGGTGCAAATAGGCCCACGTCAGCACATTCTATTTATATTACTACAGCTTAGGCCTAATATAAAAAAAAATTGGTTATATGGGCTTCTTAAAAAAATGTAGGTACGTATTGACAAATAGAATATATGCAAATGTTCAACATATTTACAAGTCTATGTACAGATTTACATAGTACCATAAGCTAACGGTACGGTAAGTGTAGCGTAATCAAAAGGTTATTGTAGAAATAATAAAGTGGACTGTATATGGGTTATTAATTTAATTTTTACAACAGAAAATATTGGACTTTTGGTATAATTTTTAACACTGAACTATAGTTATGTTACCACTTTGACGTTATTAAGGTCTTGAAAGAAGATCTGGTCGAATGTTGTCTCTAGTTGAGAAGATATGTTTCATGAATGTCCAAATGTTCTCACGGTACACAGAATTTAGTCAAATTAAAAAAAGGTTTATTTAATGAACACAAAAGGAAAAGGTAAATGAAATAAGTCAAAATAAAAGGAGAGACAAATGAATTATGTTACACAAAGAAACGATATTACAAGAGAGAAAAATTGCACTTTTTGAACCAGAATATTTACCTTGGAATGTTTACATTTTAAAAATTGTATTATTGTATTGTTGTTGACATGTGGGGATTATTTTAATATGCTCATATGGTCAGCTGGCCTTTTACTGAACATACCGGCCTCCATAAAACGATAGTTTTATAACAATGAACACCAAATTGTGCAAAAAACGGAGCACTGAAGAATATTTTGGATATTATTTACAACTATTTACAGGTCTTTCTAAGTTGTATGGCTTAGTTTTGAGGGAGGGGGAACACTTGAACAAGTTTCACATCAAAGAGGCCATAACAGTCAACGCCACTGGTAATGAATGGTCGAGCTGGACTTACTCTTGCGGTAGGAAGATCTCCCATGAGTGGAGTGATGTTCTTAATACTTGTCCGTATGACTCGACGAGCCGAAAGAATCCAATAGTTTTGGCAAAGGATTGCTTGAGTCAGTTGTGGTCCGGAATGTAAGTGAGTAGTGTGGACAAAGTCTATGAGAAGATCAACGATATGGTGTATCTTTGGAAGTACTATTGGGTGTTTGACGTTGAATTTCAGCGATAGCTTCTTAAGCCGGCCTCCCACACAAATTATGCCGGAAGCATCCAGAAAAGGGTCTAAACGTTGAAGATTAGAGGTACTGGGTTTGTTTTTGTGAAGTAGAGTCAATTCATTCGTAAAACTTGTAGCTTGTACACACTTGATGATCGTACGCTCTGAGTTCTTAAGTTCAGAGACGGTGAGATGCCCATGTCTTCGGTCAGAGCTACGTGCATTGTGGATAAACCGCAAGACATAGCTTGTTACTCTAAGTAGTTTGGACCACGATGAGTACTTTGAGAGAAGATCCCATTCTGGAGGTTGGGTTGAAACTAGGACATTTAAAGGAGTTGTTTTACATTCTTGAGTGTCTTGCAAGTTGATGGGAACGAAGCGATTAGATGGCCAATGATCATCTGAAAGAGTTAACCATGGAGGGCCATTCCACCATAGAGGATGATCAATGAGTTGAGCGGGAAGCAAACCACGTGACGCACAATCAGCGGGGTTGTCTGTTGAGGGAACGTAGCGCCAGGAGTGAGAGGGGATCAATTCTTGGACTTGAGCAACTCTGTTGGCAACATACGTTTTAAGTCGATATGAGGGGGTGTGGAACCAATTGAGGGTTACTGATGAATCACACCACAATGTAGTTTGAGAAAGGTCAATCTTTTCTTTGAAAATTGTACAACAGTAAGTTGTGAGTTTTGCAAGTAAGTGTGCACCACATAGTTCCAAGCGGGGTAGAGTAACACGTTTCAAAGGAGCTACACGTGTTTTTGCGAGAATCTGACGAGTGATGATTTCTCCAGTTGAAAACTCACAGCGGAAGTATAAGACTGCTGAGTATCCTACTTCGGAGGCATCTGAAAATCCATGGAGTTGTAAGGAACATGTGGTAGTGAAATGGAACGAGCGAGGGATCTTAATACTTGAAAGGAGAGAGGTTTCATCAACGAAAATGTGCCATTTTTCAGCAAGTTCATTTGGAAGAGTGTCATCCCATTGGATACCCTGTGACCAGAGTATTTGCATGAGGGTTTTTGCCCACATGGTCACGGGTGACAAAAATCCGGTAGGGTCGAAAATGCGTGCTATAATGCTCAGCACTGATCGTTTTGTAGGAGGACCATCAGGGAGACTTAAGTTGTAAGTGAAACAATCTAAAATGGGTGACCAATGTAGTCCAAGAATGGCAAAATGAGGGTGATTAGTGGCTTCCAAAAAGACTGGTGTTTCTAGATGATCTTGAGGCAAATTTTGGAGTATTTCTGGGCAATTGGATGTCCATTTTCTTAGCTCAAAACCACCACGTGCAAGAAGTTCAATCAGCTGATCTCGTAGTTGCTTAGCTTCGTTGAGTGTATGAGCTCCACAGATGATGTCATCCACATACGTATTATCCCGTAAAACTTTGGCTGCTGCTGGGAACGACCCTCCTTCGTCGTCAGCAAGTTGATGTAACGTTCTGATGGCATGGAAAGGTGAACTGCTTAGACCGTATGTAACTGTCGTTAATTTGTATGTGGAGATTTCTTGAGTCTTTGGATCACGCCATAAAATTAACTGATACTTCTGGTCGTCAGGATGAACTTGAATGCAACGATACATTTTCCTTATATCGCAACTGAACATATAATTATGTGAACGAAAATTCAACAAAATGTCACAAATGTCAATTTGAAGTTTGCGACCGGTTAAAAGAATATCATTTAGTGAGACACCGGTACTGGTTTTGCAACTACCATCAAAAACTGTACGAAGTTTGGTTGTACTACTGGTTTCCTTCAGTACACCGTGATGAGGCAAATAGTAGTGTGGCTGCGAAAGATCGGAAGGGGATGCTTTGACCATGTGTCCGAGATGTTCATATTCAGTCATAAACTGTGTATACAATTCCTTGAAATCAGAGTTGGATTCAAACTTTCGTTCAATTGAGTGAAGTCTATGTTCAGCAGCAGATTTAGAAGTGCCCAGTGGTTGATGTTGGTCCTTGAAAGGGAGTCGAACCACATATGTTCCATCTGGAGAGCGGGAGTGAGTTGATTTGAAGTTATCTTCAGCGATGTGATCGTCTTCAGAGATAAGATTGCACTGCGGTACCTCTTCTTGTTGCCAAAAGCGAAGTAGAGTATTATGTAGCTCGTCCGTAGTGGAGAGTAGAGATGAATGGCATGAGGTGGGAGAAGAGTTAGACAAAGTTGGTGCATTGCCCATTAACACAAATCCCAATCGTGTTCCAATAACGAATGGGAGGTTTGAGCCCAATGGGTAGGATTGATGAGTAAGAAGTTCTGGAAACATAGCACCTCCTATGAGAATGTCAATATTCTGAGGAATATGAAAGGTCGGATCTGCGAGGACAAAAGGTTTTACCAGTTCGTAAACCTCAAAAGAGAGTTGAGTACGAGGCAAAGGAGCGGAAATTCTATCTAGAATATGGAAAGGTTGATTTGAAGCAATTACTTCACTGCCTAGTGTAGATAGTTCTAGGAGTGCATGTCCCTTTGTCGAGGATTGCGATGCAGAGATTCCCACGATTGTGTGAGTAGAGCGGTGACGAGAGACGTTTAATAGCTGTGCTGCCCTCTCTGTCATGAAGTTGAGTTGACTTCCACTGTCGAGCAGACATCGAAAGACATGAGAGATTCCATTAGTAGCGGTAATTTTAATGAGAGCGGTGCCTAGAAGTACCGTAGTTGCAGGCTGAGAAATCGAGAGCGACATTTCTGGTTGAGCAGAAGCGACTACAGAAGGTGTAGCAGTTGAAGGTTTTGAGGGTTTGGCTATAGGAGGAGGCTGCACCGACTTTACAACATTTTCGAAGTGTAACAAGGTGTGGTGTTTTTGTTTACATTTAAGACATGTGCCTGTTGAGCGACAATCTTTGAGTGTGTGATTGCCAAGACATGAAATACATTTATTTTGCTCCTTTACAAGTTTGTAACGCTCGTTTGGAGATTTCTTAGCAAAAACCTTACACATGTAGATTTTGTGATCGGTTTGTTGACAGGCAAAGCATGATGGAAATGTCTTTACAGAAGTGGAGTGATCATCTGAGCTTACAAGTGCAGTATAGCGGGTGCTTGGTTTGGAGTAATTTTTACTAGATGTGAGGGCAGGCTTTGAATTAGCCTTGTGACAAAAAGTTGAAGAGTGTAGGTTGGCATCTTCACTGTTTGAGCATTCTTCATTGAGAAATTTAATGATTTCGTCCACAGATGGTAACGAATGAGTTTCACATGATTTGAATGAGCGGTAATGTTCAAGTTTTTACCGTAAATTTCTATCAAGTCTACGGAGCAAATGAGCTGACAGCAAAGGATTGTCATTGGTAGTGATGTCACTT